GGCTGGGCAGCGCCTGCCCCCGCCCCCACCTCAGCCCCACTCCTTCCCTCACTGTGGGGGCCTCAATCGCACCCCCCCATGCCCCTTCCTTCTCCCGCACAGACTTACCAGCTGGATGCTGCTCTCTGTGCTACTGGGCTGCAGCTGCGTGCATACACGTGGCATTTATTGGTGACATAATCAGCCACATCAGCCAAAAAAAAGCCTATTGCCGATCACGTCAATTTTCCTTTTATCAGTGCCAATATGATATGGACTGATTGTACCGGTGCACCTCTACTCTCCTGTTAATTTTGTGTCACCATCCTTTCGAATTTTAGTCCCTCACACAGATAAACAAAAGTGACAAAAGTCAACCAAGATCCACATTCAAAATTGGTGGATTTAGGTCCCTGTTCAGAGTCCTCAGTATCAAATGGAATTCTTCAGCAGTGCACAGACCAATTCCCCCAATCATCAGACAGCATTCTTGAAACTTTGAGGGATAAATCTTGTGCTAGCCAGGCAAAGCACCATGATTTACTTCAGTTAGGTCTATGGGGGACTTATTCATGAGCCACAAGGATGCTCCGACACACTGTAATTACAGCAGAGCAAACTCAATTAATAGTGTCTTCCAGACCATGGTAATTACCGTGTTCCAGCAGCCTCCAGCATCTCATGTATCAGTATCCCTGCACTTAAAAAGTAGCAGCGGGGACTTTTATTCAAAGCTTGTTCGACGAGCTTTAGATAAATCTCCTCCACTGCCATTTTAAGCACAGGCACACTGATACATGAGACGCTTCGGACACTTTAATTAGAGCGGCTCTCAGGGCCACTCGAATTAAAGCGCCCCCCCTTCCCCCCGTGTGTGTAAATAAATACCCTAGGATTTTTAACTAAGGACTTTAACTGGAAGTTAAGTACTGTACAAGTTAATTAGGCAGGACAATTTAATTACTTTTAGAGGTGTATCTAGGCAGTCTTAAGTTGGTTTTTTTTTAATATTTTTTTTCTTTTAGAATGGAGGAAGCACGCTTTGTTCAGTGGATGACTCAAATGACCACGTGCTTTCTGTATGGGACTGGCAGAAGGAAGAAAAACTGGCAGATGTTAAGGTGTTGCAATAAGATATTTTGTGTACTACTAGTTGCTTATATGTAGATCTGAATTTCTTGTCATATTTCTTTTTATACTTTTAATGTTCTGTGCCTTTTAATTCTCAGTAGTGGTTTCAGATTTATAAAAGGCAAAGAATAGAAAACATGTCTAATTTAAATATTTCTTCTTTCTTTTGAAAGTAGTCCAATATCCTTTTCCTTTTTTTGCTGTCAGTCTTGTTAGAGTTCACTAGGAAATTTTAAAAAGCAACTCTAGGGATTTATAAGAGCACATGCAGAAAAGAAATGCTGTAAGCCAGAGGTGCCCAAGCTATGGCCCTCAGAGCTCCCTATGGGTCTGGAAATTTGTCAGTATGGCAAGCAGTGGCAGCATTAATTGTCATTCTGGGAGTGGCATTATTGGCTCTGGGAGTTGCAACAGTTAACACTACCACCACCTGACCTGCTACCAAATTTATAGACCTGGGGGAGCCCCACAGGCTGGATCCAGAGTGTGGAGCCATATCACCTGGCTTGTAGGACTGCTCACGGGGCTGGAAATTTAGTAGTGGGAGGCATGGCAGCTACCACGGCTCTAGGAACCACAGCAATTAATGCTGCTACTGCCAACATCCAGCCCATTGGGCCAGATGGCATTTCCACACTGGCCCATGAACCAGGCCTGTGCCGCTCATCTGACTTGTGGTGCCAAATGAACTGGGTACCACTGCTATAAGCTAATGGTAACTTTTACATACAGCCTTGTCTTGACAACATTCCACAGTTTTAAAGGGAGTATGTTAACTTTTGATCCTGATTTCAAACTTTGTAAGCCTCATCTAAACTTCAAGATTTTCCATTCAAGGGACTTGTTATTTCATAGTCTCTCTTCAGTTAAAGCAAGGGGAAAAAAGTAGTAGGGAATTTCTCTACTACATACTATAACATGATTTGATTAACAAGAAAACACTTTCAAATGAATCATATTGTATATTAGTTTTTGATACATTGTTTCTCTCTTTCTTTCCAAGTGCTCTAATGAGGCTGTATTTGCTGCAGATTTTCATCCTACAGACACAAATATAATTGTTACTTGTGGAAAATCACACCTTTACTTTTGGACATTAGAAGGGAATGCCCTTATTAAAAAGCAAGGATTATTTGAGGTAAAACAACATATGTTCTTAACTTTCTGCTTACAGTATGCTATATCTACAGTAGTCTAGCTAAATTAAGGTTTAAATGAATCAAAATACCATTAGCCTGACGAAGGGTTTTTGAACCCAAAAGCTTGCTTAATAATAATTTTCCAACTATTTGGGTTGGTCTAATAAAAGATATCAGATTCACACAAGGAACCTTGTCTGCCTATGTCCTTAGACCAACACGGTTACAACCTACACGCCTCAAAACACCATGGTATTTACACTTGCCATTTTATCATACTTTATTCTTTATTTTGTATAGCATTTGTATAGCATGATGAAGCTATCCTGGGTGATGTTTCAAATGTAGTTTCCATTTCAGTCCCTACCCTTCTTTTTTCATTTTCTCATAATAATTTTTCAAATTCATTTTGGGTTGAAACTTTCCATATTTGGCCACCTCCCCAAAATAAGTATGTTAGTTTTTAAATGAAAGTTTGAGACACATAACTGTATTCATGCAAATGACTTAGAATTGAGTGAGGTTTTTTTCTTCATTCTGCTCAGATACATTAGTAGGCAACCATTAATCCTTCTGGATCATGGTGTATGCATGAGAGGTCACCAGGGTCTTCGACAAGTATGCCTAGGTAGGAGTATGAACGATTTGGAGGCTGCTCAGACCTTCCATGCTCCCTTTAGACTACTGAGACAGAATCCAAAGGCCAAACCAAGTCCGGACATTTGGTGCCTCGATGGCTGTAGTTATATTCACATACAGGAATCGAACCCAACTCTCCTGAGTGGTAAACACAATTATACCAGTGAACCACAATAGCGGGTATCAGATGTGTACACATACAACTATACAAAAAAGTCCACAGGCATGCTCTCTGTGTAAAGGGGGCAGTGTGCTGAAGAATATTATGTTTAACCTTGTCACTTTCCCTTTTTCATTCCCTTTTTACCTTGTACCTTAGATTAATTATCCTGAAACATAGAATACTAGACAATTATGTCGTTCTAGGATTTTTCATAAACTTAGCTGACACATCTCTTGCTCCTGCACAGATCAACCATCAAGTCCACAGGACAGTCTTTAACTCAAATTTGTAACTTCCCTCCCAAGCACTGATTGACTGAGATGATGAATATGTATGAGACCTGCAACACTGTTCACTGTAAATGAAGATTGCTTATATAGCTTCAAAAATGGCTACTGAGCACTAGTAGTAACTGCTGTTGCTAATTTTGGGTGCTTCTGGCTTCTAGCTGAGTGTCTTCCAAAGTGCAGAAACAGAGTATTTTAAAAAAACAACCATAAAAAAACAGTGTCCCCTTCTAACTGTTTGTCTCCATTTCTTTGGGCCAACACAAATACAGTATGTACCAGTTGGCTTCTGTTTTTTAAATTCTAACTCCTTAAGCAAGCCAGTGATGAATACTTTAAAGCTGGCAGTATTTCATATGTCTTAATCTCACTCTATTTTTATTGAATTGTATTTTGATTCTCTATGTTTTTATTAAAATTCCTACGCATAATAACAGTAGAACAATGGAAAAATCTACCCAGAGAAGTTGTGGAATCTCTCGGTGGAGGTTTTCCAAGAAGAGTCTGGATAGACATCTGTCTGGGATGGCTTAGGAACAGGAAATCATGTATCTACACACAGAGTTGGATTATTAGATGACCCTGGTGATCCCTTCCAATCCTATGATTCTAATTTCAAACTCATTTTTGAAGATGGCCTCAGTTTGGAACAGCAGTATAAAGTGTAGGTTTATCTTTGACATAAATGTCCTCAAAGCACCTCAGCTTCACAGAACTTTCACTCTGTTCTTCAACAAATTCTCAAGCTTTGCTGACAACTTAATTTCTACAAATCTATAACGGCTTCTGGGGGTGGGTTTCTATGAGGATGGGAAAAGGAAATAATTACTATAATAAGAATACTAGAACTGTATATGTGTAAATTTAATCTGTGATCTACAACTAAAACAAATCTAATATCTATAACTAAAATGAATGAACTGTGTGTTGCTGAGAATATACTAATTTTCATACCACACAGAAACAAGAGAAGCCAAAATTTGTCTTGTGTGTGACCTTTTCTGAAAATGGTGATACAATTACAGGAGACTCAAGTGGAAACATTTTAGTTTGGGGAAAAGGTAAGATAAAACAGATTATAAACATGGTTTTACATACTACATTGAAACAAGAAAACTTTATTCTAGGAAATGCTTTGAATTTTTATATAAGAGCATTCACATTTTAGCAAGAATAAACTTGACTTCTCTGGGTTCTTCTACCAAAGCCTAAACAATAATAGACTGTCCTCATTTGTTTCAGTTCTCTGGTTTTACCACCTGTAAAATTGACTGTACAACATAAAATGCAATTTGCTATAGAAGTTCAAATTTTAAATACCTGTAGCAAGATTAGAATAAAACAAGATTTGGATAAAAACAAACGTCTATGTGGTCTCTTATGGATATTACTGAAAGGTAGAAGTGACAGACAATGTTTTTCTCTTTAATCAAAATAACTGAAAGAAAGTAATGCAATTTCTCTAAAGTTAAAAGCAATGTGGTAAGAAAGACAAACAAACAAGGCAAGTCTCTTATGATGACCCCTGGCTTTTTTTTTTTTTAAGTGTGGCTTAAAAATAATGTTAGCTATGCTTTGTTGGTAAGAGTATATTTGAATAACAGAACCATTAATATATTCTCCCTGTATTTCACAATCCATAATGATTCCCTATGATAAGTAAGCTAACAGTTGGTTCTGTGTATAGAGGTTTATGGACCAGATCCATAAAGATTTTTAAGTACCTAGCTGTCACTGGTTTCAATGGGAGTTAGCCACTTAAAATAGGACTTAGGGCACAGACAGAAGTGACAATTTCACCTAATCTGGTCACAGAAAGTGGTCTATAGCTATGACCAAACATGAGTGCATGGCTTCAGAGTGCATGACACAGCTTCAAAAATGGCCAGTTGAGTAAAATTCTGAACCCTTGTTGTATTGAGGGGTCAGGGAAAACATTTCAAAACATAGCGTCTTCTGTAACTTCTGTCTCCACTGCCTCCCAGCCTCAAGCTGTTTTCAAAATGGGAGGAGGGAAAGGGAGCAGAGGGAGTTTGGTCTGGGGTTTTTTTAGCCCCTGCTGGAGGGTGGGGTAGGTGTATTGGAGCACCGCCCCCACCCAAGGTGGGGGGCCTCCAATTCACCCACCCAACCCTCCAACACCAGCAGGGGAATCCCCTAGAATGAGCTCCCTCTGCTCCCTTTCCCCCCTCCAATTCTGAAAACAGGGACAGGCTGGGAGAGAGGAGGAGCCATTGCTTGGAAACTGGCTGCAGGCTCCCAGCCAGCAGCTAGATTCCCACTCCCCCACTTAGACCCAGTAGCAAACTTCTGTTTGGTTCAGGGGATTGTTGTAACTCCAAACGCTTCCTGTAAAGCATTTTCAGTTACAGTGGGGAGCTGCACTTCTGTCTGCACCCTTACCTTTGTAGGTCTTGGCCTTATTGTACAAGGATAAATTGTACGTTTGGCTCTCCATATAAACTTGCAGTGAAATGAGTAAAAAAAGATTCAATCAAATAAATATATCATATTTTCTTCATGTACCTAGGTACCAATAGAATAAGCCACGCAGTCCAAGGAGCCCATGAGGGTGGTATTTTTGCACTTTGTATGTTGCGAGACGGCACGCTGGTATCAGGAGGCGGAAAGGACAGAAAACTAATATCTTGGAATGGAAATTATCAAAAACTTCACAAAACTGAGGTGATAGCACTTATATTTAAAGATAGCTTCCTGTTCTAAAAGGCAATCTAAAAAGTGACTTGTTAACCATGTTTTCTTAATTAATGCTCTATTTACAAACCAACATTCTGTGATAATCAGTAGCGATGTGTAGGGGGTACACAGGGGTGCCCCCTGCATGGGGCCCCCCCCTGAGAGTGCTGGGGCACCCCCTGCCCAGCCACACTCCCCACTTAGGTGATGGGCAGGGGGGGCAGGCAAGAGCACCAGTGCCCCCACTGTGAGCGCCGACCAGGGAGTGTGTGCCGGATGTAGTGCTGCAGTCCAGCCACTTCCCGGTTGGCGTGATTGGCTGTGTGCCCGCCACACCCCCCCCCTGATTGCTGGGGGGGCACATGCCTCCCCGACTAAGGTGGCCCATGGTGATAATGCCAACCAGACAAGAAGTTAAATGGAAATGATTTGGTCACTAAAATTATACATTAGCTTATTTGTCAAAGATTTGTTTTCAGTTAAGTCCTATATTAATTAATTGGTAGCAAAGCTCCTAATGAAAATGTTTATATTAATTTTGTCTTTCTTCTTAATAGTGTTAGGCATGTAAATGCTTGACTAGTATATGCAAATCTGCTTTCATACACTTTTATTATCATTCAAAATGATTATATTTTACCACTAAAGTCAGAGGTGATATTTTTTTAGTTCATGGGTTTCTTTTCATTTATTACATCAGAATTTGAAAATTTAAATATTATGTAGAAATAGTCACCAGTAAGGAATGTAGCTGTCTGTTAAAATGGAAAAGCTTAACTTTTTTTAGCACTAGGCCAGCTATTCTCAGTCAGCATGCAATGAGATCTTTTCAAAGGTGTCATGGGGTGCCCGATAATGTTAGCATTGCTACGTGTGCAAACATGATTCACAAGCTAAGCCCAGCGATTTCAAATAGTAATCCATAGGGTTAAAAACATTCTGACTTGTCTTTCTGACTTCTTTGCAACAGAAGAACTGTTCTATTATTTTTCTGTAGTTAAAAAAACAAGTAAAAACTAATAACTGCTATATTCCTCAAGTCTAACAAAGAGTGCCTTGAGTAACAAGGTTGAGAACCACTGCATCAGGCACTCTGGATATCTTTCCAGAAGGTGCCACTGGGTATGTCTACATGAGATGCTTTATCTCCTTAGTGATAAGCTATGGCACTGTACTCATCGTTACTACAGTGTAGCGTCAGTGGGCATGAGCCGTGATGCCAATGCTACTGCACAGTAGCTTGTTGCTACTGCACAGTAGCATCGGAAATGATCTGTGCGGCACTGGGACTTTGCAGTCTGGTGCACATGTAGATGCACCCACTGAAAAGCACACCCTGCCTGTATGCCAAATATGGAAATGAGGTAGTGAGAGCAGCCCCATTACCATGTTTAAAGAAATAACTGGCAGAAGGAATTCCACCATCCAGGATAATGCTGTAATCACTGGGTTACAGAGTAAAACTCCCTCCTGCTTGCCCTCTTGATTCTTCAACTCTTTGTACTCATTGGCTGCATCCAGACGGGTGTGGCCATGTAATATGTGGTACCACAGACACATCTGTGGTGCCTCATACTGCATATTCAGTTGTTCTCCACGCTGCAATGGAGCAGTACTCAGAGTTTTTTTGACTCCCGTATATCCAGGGGTCAAAAACCCTGCAGAAAAAAAAGCAGAGTGGTGCACATGGCGGCAGAGTGGTGCACATGGCGGCAGCGTGCACCACCCAAAGCTGGGGCCTGGCCAGCTGGAGCCACACTCGACTGCTAGCCAGGCTCAATGTGGCAGGATCACTGCTGCAGCAGCCCTGGGAGACTCCCAGAAACCCAGGTAAGGCTGCTGAGGCCAGCTCAGTGCTAGCCCCAGCCACTTCTACCCTACCTGGGGTAACTTGCAACACACCACAGTGTGCATGGCATAGGCATTCCTCAGGGACAAATAGTGGCAGCACCAGGTATCCTGCCGCTACCTGTCCCTGGGGAACAAACATTTGCACTCATCTGGACGCAGCCATTGAGTCATTAATGGCTAAGTGTCTAGTTGGGGGGAGGTATTAAGTCAGATTCCCCAGGGGTCTGTCCTAGGTCTGATATTCTTCATTGATGATTTGGATGATGGGATCAAATACAAGCTTAGCAAATTTGCAGAGGATATACAATATAATTGGGTGGAATTGAAGGTACTGTGGAGGATAGGGCTAGGATCCAGAATGCCTGGATAGACTAGACCAGGGGTTCCCAATGTTTATGTGCCCAAGAGCATTTTCACATTTAAAAGAAAAAGCAGCAGGCGCCAATATGAATATTAAAGTTTAGAATTTAGATCAATCTGATCATCTCATCCATTACTTAAAATTGCATTAGATCTGCAACTTCAAAATTCAGCTTCCCTTTTCTTACAAAAATATTTAAGTAAAAAATATTTGTTGGAATACAGTACTATGTCTAATTTTGGGCTGCACTCTTCAAGAAGGATTTGGAAAGTTTAGAAAGAGTCTGGTGCAGAGTGACAAAAATGATTAGAGGTCTGGGAAGCAAGCTTTATAAGGAGACGCTGACAAAAACTAGAGTTTTTTAGTTTGGAGAAGAGAAGCAGACAGGGAGAGATGTTAATAGCAGTCTTCATATACCTCAGAGAGCATAGAAATGTGGTTTTCTCTGTGGCCCTACACAACAGGAATAGGAGTGGGGGCTGGGAAGGCATGGGGGCTGAGGTACACAGTTGACAGCCCAGAGGTTGTAAGTTCACAACCACTCACAGCAGAACCACTCACAGCACAGCCCTGTCAGATTCCAGTGAATCTGCGAATTCTGCTAAGTCAAGCATTGAAACAGGATATCTAGAGAACTTGTGGTATCTCCTTCCCTGGAAATTTTCAAGAGCAGCTTGTACAGACATTATTGGCTGTGATAATATGGCCAGAGATGTGCCTGCCTTGAACAGGGGGCTGGACTAGATCAGGGGTCAGCCAACCCCCAACATGTGTGCCAGAGCATGGCACAGTAAAGCATTTTATTTGGCACGTGTGCCTCAGGGCAGATGGTGGGGAAGGAGCCAGGGCTGTTACCACAACAAGGATGGGGTATTTCTCAGCTCACCCACCGTCTGCCCAGAAGTGTGCAGTTAGCTGGGCTGTGGCTCTGCAGACCTTGGTACAGCAGCTTGTAGCCTCCCCACCACCTGCTGCAAGCAGCCTGGGCTCTGCAGTGGGTGACAGGGGCCTGCCCAGAGCCTGGGCTGGCTGTGGCAGATGGTAAGCTGCTGCACCGAGGTCTGTGGAGATGTGGCCTGGCTTATGGTTGGTGGCAGGGGCATCTGTGCCTCCAGGCAGATGGTGAGAAAGGGGCTGCAGCTGTGCTGCCACAACAAGAATCAGGCCTTTTGCAGCTCCCCCTGGCACACAACATCTTACAAGTTGAGGTTGGTGCTTTTGGCACTCGAGCCAAAAACGTTGCCAACTCCTGGACTAGATGAACTTGAGAGGTGCCTTTGCCTTCCAGCCCTGCTTTCCTATGATCCCACTCTTGGCTGGACAGTGGGTCAGGTTTAACAGGAAAGGGGAGGAAACCCTCAGCCAGCCTGTCTCCTAATTTGGCGGTTAGAGGACCCTTCAGGGACTCAGTCCCCTCGGAATAAGATTGACCTAAAACGAATCTCTACTTGGGTGGGAACCCAACCTCCACCATAAGCTCTGTGTGTGGTTTGCATTATGCTACTTTTGTGCTTTCAGCATTGGTCATTAGACATACTATGACCCCACCTGAAGACTTGGGAGTGAAGTGCACAGGCTAGTCCAGACTGCTTCTTAGCATGTGCAGTAGTCCAAGTCTAAGCAACGAGGGATCTTTAGATGAAAATGGAGATGCTTTATGAGTCAAAACACCTATGCAGCTGTTAAAATCACTACAGAAATCATAACCTTTCAGTACCTGATTTACATAGTTTTAACTAAGCAACGTTAATGTCTCAACAATATAATTTTTTTTGGCAGTGTTATAAAGACAAACTTTCAGCTGATAATAAATTGTCATAGTTCTATTGAAGGTAGTGGAACTCTGATTGTTTATACCAATTGAGGACTTGCTCTCTAGTATTTTGCTTATTTTATATAAAAATGATATAGCCATGGATTTGACCTCATCCAAGGCTGTGCTGCTTCTATAAAAATTAATTTGTTAGGCCACATATCTGCAACTTTTTTTTTTTTTTTACAAAAAACTGTTAAGAAGTAATTTTGTACAAGTCTAACAAGTCCATTTTTCTATTATAAATACAGATTCCAGAGCAATTTGGTCCAATCAGAACTGTAACAGAAGGAAAAGGTGATGTTGTTTTGATAGGCACTACTAGAAACTTTGTTCTACAAGGCACTCTATCAGGGGACTTTTTTCCAATTACCCAGGTAAGCTGTAGCCTTGCAGGTTAATAGACTTTGCAAATATTTAAAAATGTGCAAGAACAATAAAAGCAGTTGTTTAGTTTTATAAAAATACAACACTGTTTAATTTTTCAGTGCAGTTAGCAATTACAGAATTTGATAATTATGCCTATATCCAAAATAAAGAAAATGTTGACAATTTTAATATATAACCTAATTTTGACCACATTCATTGGTATTCATTCTGGATTTAATATTGATGTGACTGTACATTTTCTGAAAAAAAAAATTTCTGTTTGTACAGGGACACACTGATGAGTTGTGGGGACTAGCCATCCATTCTGCTAAACCTCAGTTCTTTACTTGTGGTCATGACAAACATATTACACTCTGGGATGCCACCACTCATTGTCCTATCTGGAACAAAATTATAGAGGTATGTTCTAGTAAACCAAATTTTTATTTACAGAATAAAGTTTCTGACTAAATTGGGTGATATAAAAGTACTAGCTAATTGCCTGTCAAGAATAACGGCGGGGAGGAGGGGTGCCGCCACCCACCACCCTGCACAACCGCCGCCTCCCAGGAGCAGGGGCAGGGGAGAAGCTTGCCTCTCCGTCCCCCTCTGCCAGCACCCCATGCCGCTGCTGTCTCCAGCTGCCTCACCCCCACCTACCCGCTGGCCCTTCTCCTTGGAGGCAGTGGAACACTGCCATGATGGCAGGAAGGGAGCAGGGGGTCAAGGCCAGTGGTCACCTTTGCTGAGCAGGGCTGGGGCGGGGTGGGGGATGAAGCCAGTACCACCGGCCTTGCCCCCCCTGCTCCATCCCCACTGTCATGGCAGCTCTCCGCACTCTGATTGGCTGTTTCACTAACCAGTCAGAGTGCTCCAAGAGTGTTACGGACAGACAGATGGACTAAGCCCTTTATTATATAAGAATTTTTTTAATGTATTATGGGAGGAAAAGAATTATAGTATGAGACAATAGTATACTATCCTATAAGAATTTATATTATGGTGGATGATAATTTCACAAAACTGAAATTAGCATATATTAGGCAGTTAAAAGTAATCTGATCACTAACCTAAGCAAGTTAAGCAGATGGAAACATTCATAGCTGATAGATGACACAGCCTTCATAGAAAATAAATAATATTAAATAAATACATTTATTTTACAACCTCCTTCTTTGTTTTATTTTTAAAAGTGAGGTTCTAATATTGCTTAACTTTATTTTAACCATAAGCCTTAAATGAGCTCAGTCATAGCGTTTGCTATGTATTCAACCTAGTTGGTCTTCAATTCCTCTTTTCCCATCTGATATGGAACATTTGTCTATAGCTAATGAAGATATGTAAGGTTAATGTGTGAACATTTCACACATACTTTAGTTAAACCACCAAATGATTCATTTGGGAGCGCATATAATTTATGATTATAAATTTTCATTTTGGTTATTTGTACGCAGAAATAAAAACTTGTTTCCCAAAACTTACTGGAATAGTTGGAGGACTTTTCAGATGTCTAGATCAGTGAGGACCAACCTTTTTTGCGGGCATGCAACAAATTAGCCCCACACCTTCACTGAGTACTCTGATCCCCTTCCTCTGCCCATTCTGCTGCTCTGCTTTCTGCTCTGAGCTCCCTGACAGTTCTCTTGCTCTGCTTTCTACTTCCTACCCTGTGCTCCCTGCCTAAACTTGTACTTCCTTCCCTATCTGCTGCTGTACTGCTTGTCCCCTGTCTGATCTATCTCATCCCACACACAGAGGCTGCCCATGCCATTTGTGGCACTTAAAATACTTTTGGTGCCATCTGTATGAAATAAGCTAAAGATTCTCCTCCTTAACTATGAGACAACCACCATCACATCTTTCCAGCAGTCTGTATTTATAAATCTCATTTTACTGTAAACAGTGAGCATTTTTTTTCATGTTGAGCTATGTCATGTCTGTGCTGGGCCATGCACTACACTTTTCACTTTCTTCTTTCTGTTGAAAATAAAAGTTCCATAGCTACCTAAGGTCTGAAGCTCAAACCAGACTGCTAACAAGGCACTTGAACCTCCACCTCAAATTTTACAAGTGGGACTTTTGAAGTAAAAATCTCCTCTTCTCCCTGAATCTCAACTTCCATGCATTTCCTTCAGCCAACTGGTCCATGTATTTACTTTAGATTTGTAGCTTTGTTTCTTTAATTATTATGAATGTCTGAATTGTGCACTGCATCAGCCAGTCTTCAGTTATAATTATCTATCCCTTTTCCTGATGTACTTTCCAGTTCCTAATGAAATACACTGACAGTATGTAAAAAACCAGTTCAGGTAATCTGTCACTCCCAGACTTCAAGAGTTAGCAGATGTGCAAATCCTGTAGTCCATCACTTTGCGCTGTAGCTATCACTTACATGGCAACAAAAAAATGGGCAGCTTGTACTGGATGTTTATTTGCATTGAGAGAAGATCTGTCAAGAACTGAGTCAACTGCTTTGCTTCAGAGTCTGTCTGGCTAGTTTGGGTAGTTCTAGAACAGGGACGGGCAATTATTTCGGGCCAAGGGTGCAGGCTGGCAGGGGTCTGTGGAGCTGGGCTGGGCTGCACCAGCAGAGAGAGGTGGGTGCTGGCCTGACTCCATAGAGCCCCTGCCAGACAGGACCCCTGTGCTCCTGCTGCCTACTCTGGGCCCCGCCGGTGCTGGCCCCGGGACACCAGTGTGGGCCCCATGCACCTGTTCACTCCCAGTGCCCCCCAGCCCCACAGTACAGGCCAGGGGCAGCATGCAGCCCCAACCCCGCACTCACCGGCAGGGAACGAGCTGGTGCTGAGTACAGGGAAAAGCACCCCACCCCCCCCCCTTGCCGTTCTGGACAGTGTTTGCCACTGCCACCTCTGTGCTGCCCAGCACGCGAGCTCCAGGCAAGCAGCAGCAGCCAACACTGTCTGGTGCAGCAACTGGGGGGGGGCTGCAGCAGCTGCCGCCATGGCACAGCCCCGACAGGCAAGCCCGGAGCTGGCAGGGGGCCCATACTGGCAGCAGGGCTGGGTTACAAGCTGGTGCTGAGTGCGGGTAAAAGCGGCCCCTCGCCTGCCCTGTGCCCGACGTCCCGTGCTGCAGCCACTCGCAGCCTGGGTGGGTTTTTGCCCAACCTGCACTGGAGTGGGGACAGGTGGATTGGAGCTCCACTTCTGTCTCCAGTCCACTTGCCTCCACTCCAATGGAGGCTGGGCAGACACCAGCCTGAGCTCCCTCCCTTGCTTTCTCCCCCACTCCCATCCTGAGATAGCACTTGGGGTGGGGTGAGGTGGGACGAGGCTGCAGCAGCCCATCCACTGGAGCAAATAGAAGTTAACGTAGGCGCTTTGGAGTGCCTTCATTTGAGCCTTCATGCAATGAGGGTTAATTTGTTGCACAATTGGAGCGCTCTGCAGCCATGCTCTTCTGTTAGGGCACGACTGTAGAGCATTTTGAAGGGGCCTGTTGTACAACATATGTAATTTCCGTGTGCACCTACAGTTCTGTTTTCAGATCTGACAGTGGACTATCTGTAAATCCAGTGTGGAGGAACTTGTTTTCCTTCCTTGTTTCTCAGCTTGTCTGTTTCTCTCTTGTCCTGCAGTCTGGTGTCTAAAGACTAGCAGAAGGCAATGTAGTTTTACATCTCTGTAGACTAACTACATCAGAGATGTATAGCATAAGCATTGGTAAGTAGAGGGCTTGCTTCATCAGCTGCTGTGAAGGAACTGCAGGAAGCAAAGCTACTAAATAGAAAGCAGTGACTAGAATACAGGAGGAGGGAGGACAGTACTGAGAGAGGCAAGGTGGGCAGAAGAGAGAAAAACAAAGCAGTTAATTAACTGAGGGACATGGGCCTTATAAAAACTCATCCAGGTAATGGCATCAGAATCCATAATCTCAGTTTAGACTATACTTAACACAGCCCACAAGCTACTCGGCTAGTAGCAATCTGTAATCAAATCTGAAGATGACATGTTACTTACAGTATGGACCTCCCATCAGTGGAGCAGGAAATATGCTGCACAAGGACTTCAGAACTTGCTGAATATGCTGCTAAAGAACTTCATCCCCTCAGGATGACAGCTGCCCTGCAGGGCCTGGACTGCTTTCAACCCTCTAAGAATGGGTGTTGGACGGTTTAAGGCAAAGATGCACTCTTAAGGCCTCTCCAGCAATGCTGGCTGCAGCTGTGGTGCTCAAGCTCAGATGGCTAACCAAATCATGTTCATAGGTTCATAGATGTAGGGTCAGAAGGGACCTGAGCAGATCATCCAGTCTGACCCCCTGCCCTGGGCAGGAATGAATACCGGGCTTATATGACTCCTGGTAAGTTTAAGCTCAAATGACCCCCAACTAGGTAGTTACCAAGCCTCCTCTTAAAGACCCCCAAGGTAGGAGCCAGCACCACTTCCCTTGGAAGCTGGTTCCAGATCCTGGCCGCCCTGACTGTGAAGTAGTGCCTCCTGATGTCTAGCCTGAACCTACTCTCAATCAACTTGTGGCTGTTATTCCTTGTTACATGAGGAGGCGCTTGGGGGAACAGAGTCTCACCCATACCCCTCTGGTCCCCCTTGGTAAGTTTATAGATGGCCACCAAATCCCGCCTCAGCCTTCTCTTGTGAAGGCTGAACAGGTTCAGGTCCCATAGCCTCTCCTCATAGGGCCTGCCCTGCTGCCCCCTGACCATGCGAGTGGTCCTCCTCTGGACCCTTTTGATGCTGGCCACATCCCTCCTGAAGTGCGGCGCCCAGAACTGGATGTATTGCTCCAACTGTGACCTGACCAGTGTCACACAGAGGGGGAGGATCACCTCCTTGAACCGGCTCATGATGCATCTATGGATGCAGGACAAGGTGTGGTTAGCCTTGCTGACTGCATCCTCACATTGGCAGCCCCTGTTCATTTTAGAATCAATGATGACTCCAAGATCTCTTTCTGCCACTGCTTTTGAGAAGGGAGTCCCCCAGCCTATAGGCATGCTGCTGGTTCTTTCTGCCCAAGTGCAGCACCCTGCACTTGTCAGTATTGAATCCCATCCTATTCACATTCTCCCACCCCTGTAACCTGTCCAGGTCCTGCTGTATCCTGTCCCTCCCTTCTAGCATGCCCACCTCACCCCAAATCTTGGTGTCGTCAGTGAATTTGAACAGGGTGCTTTTTACCCCCTCGTCCAAGTCGCTAATAAAGAAATTGAACAGTGTGGGCCTGAGAACCGAGCCCTGGGGGACTCCACTGCCCACCTCCCTCCAGGTTGAATATGACCTATCCACCACCACTCTGGGTGTGGCCTGCTAGCCAATTTGTGACCCATCCGACATCAATGCCACAGTTGCCTAGCTTTTTAATGAGAATGGGGTGGGAGACAATAAAGGCCTTCCTGAAGTTCAGAAAGACTACATCCACCATTGATTTTGTGACCT